CTTTAACCACTGAGCCCCAGGACTCCACATTAGACATTTAACTATAATGTATCCTTCCAATGTACATGACTGAAAGGCAACCCCAAAACATTATGGTTCTTAAATATTTATTATTTCAATATACATAATCATTATGAGTGCCTGGATAGGCAAAAGACTTAGCAATTCCCGAGGAACACCTCAAACTAGCAGCTGTGACCAATGCACATCTTGTTCTCTCAGGTTTCACACTTCTCATCCTTCAGAAGCTGTGTGCCTCTGCAGTGTTATCTAATATAATACCAATTGCAGATGTTCAGTCCCTACTGTCTGCATTCCACTTGAATATCCTTACATGAGATGATAAATTGAAGCCCAGTGCCTATTGACCAGAGTAGCTACATGAATATCAACGCCGTCATTCCATCAACTCTGTAATAGCTCCACGTGCTTTAATCCTCCATAGCGAGACCTGTGTTAGAAGTCAATTACTGAGCTTTGTTTCAGGTTTTGGACCAAATAGTGCATTGTTAATCAATCATCTCTTTTGATGAGGTTCCACAGCAAGACTTTCCATCTCTTTTGTATGGTCACTCCTGCCTGGATTCTTTTGCTGTTGTTTACACTTTTGCTACCTGCTAACACATCGGGTCATGTTGCACAGTGGCTTAACACAAAATAAATGATGCCATTAACACTTAATAATGGAAGGAAAGTACCTCCAATACTAGAGCTGTTGGTGCCGAGGTGCTCTTCTGATTACAGCCAAGCAATTGCTTCCAATATGAATCATTTCCTTTGCGAAGGTGCCTCAGAGGGCAAAATTATCAAGTGCCTTCTGAAACTCTAGGTACATAACCTCCACTGTGTTACTATTATTTAGAGATTCTGATAATCCTCAAAGAATTCTAATATATTTGTTAGGCTTAAACCAAACTTTCATAAACCTCCCCCATGGAATGCTGTACACTGTCCGGCACCTTGGGACGTCCTTCCGACGTGAAAGGCGCTATACAAATGTAATCTTGTTGTTGTTGTTTGAATACAGAAAACACAGTTATTGCACTTTACAGGATAACCTGTGAAGCGCTTTGAGATGTCCTCACATCATGAAAAGTACTGTATCAAATGCAAGGATTATTATAATTTATCCAATTTCCTTCTTCCTCCTTTATCTCAAGAGCTTTCACTTTAACTGAAATTCTCGTGTAAGCCATATTCTTAAGTGCCTTCCGAAAGTCTAGGTGTTACTCTTATTTACTGATTTTGATAATCCTCAGGGAATTCTAATACATTTGTTGGGCACATAAACTTGTATTTCATAAACTCATGTTAGTTTGGAATTATTGCCTTTTTACTCTTGTTAAATGCTCTTGAATTGCTTCCCCTACAATGTGTGTCAATGCTTTTTCTAGTATAGATGTCAAAGTACCAGGCTTTTAATTCCCAGGATCATGTTTCTAACCTTTTTCCCCCAAAATTCAAAAAAATTGGCTATTTTCCAATCATCTGGTACTACTCTTCAATTTAATGAGTTGCAAAAACTTTCAGTCACAGCTCTCCCTCACTTCTATCCTAATTTCCTTACTTTTGGATGAATCCCATCTGGTCTTGTTGGTTCTTTAATATTCAAACACCATTTCATTTCTAATCTCCAGTTCCTCCAGGAACATGGATTACAGCATTCAGCTGTTAGTTTGAGAGAGGTGAAATGTGGAAATCCTGTCTGCCTGTTTGGGTAACTTTAAAGATCCCATGACAATATTTGAAATGAGAGTTTCTTGACCAACAGTCCTCCAGATAGAATTGATCATTCACTTTGAGGCTGTTTGCTGTGTGCAAATCGGTTACTGCATTAGCCAACAAGTACAATCACTGCACTTTGCAGTGAATTCTGTGGGGTGCTTTTCAGACATTTCAGAGGTATAATAGGAACTGTATTAAACGCAAGGATTATTTTTATGCTACTGATGGAAGAAAGAGCTACTCCAGGTAGCTGTGCAGTAGATAAGTGAGAACTGAAATGAACAAGTACTCCACTGAGGTAATAATTGTGATACTGTGGCAGTGGGGATCGGCCGGTGGAGAGAGCGGGGTGGGGGTGGCAGTGGAAATGAGGCCAAGTTTGATTATTGGGGATGTGAGAAAATATGGGAGAATTTCGGGTCTAGATTTTTAACTATTTTCTTATTTTCTATTTTCAATATTTCCAGATTGTGTGGAATTTGGGAAATTCTCGATTCCTTCTTATTTTTGAAGCCCATTAACTTTGGACTGCAAAAAATCAACTCCAAAATTACGTCTGAATTTACGTAATTGCTTAGAAAAGTAATGTAAGTTTAGATCAAGGTGGAATTTCTACTGCTAACCGATCTGTTATAGCAAATACAGTTGCACCGATTTAGGAAAAAAAATACAATAGTTAATCTGAATTAAGGGGGAAATATTTTAATCAATAAATATTTGTCAAATTATATGAATGACTCTTAGTTTTTTTCACTTTTCAACCAAGTGGAGATATTTTGCTTGCAGCCAGCACCCCATAAAAATTAGGAAATTAAATTCCTCTTGCTATTATTTGTGATTTCGGAGAGTTTAATATGATTTTATTTGTTTCGTCCTGTTCAGCTGGCCATCTTATTCAGTGTATATTTTCACTTGCAAGCAAATGAAAAATAAATGATTCAGTGCTTGCTATTGCCATTGCTTTTTGGACACAATATACAGAGTAGTGAAATGTATTCTATTGTGATAGTTAATAGGCGAAAGAATACAAGTTTGGATTCCTGTTGATAACTGTTACTAATGCAACCCACACTTATTATTAAGTGGAGTAGAACTATTCTGTTACAATGTGCCATCACTGCATAAAACACAGTCAGGTTTGAATTTGGCTCAATTGCACTGTGAATTTAAAATGTTGAAGATGAATTCCTGGAAAGTTAGTAATTATTCTAATTATGACTTGTGAATATCTTTTCTCACTCAGCCACTTCTAATCATTTCTCAGATTAGGAAGAATCACATTTTCCTTTAGGAATGACAATGGGCAAGAGAAACTCGAAAAAATGTGAATTTTATCTGAAGAAAAATATGGCGGAGGTGAATTAATTTTTCTTGGAATTTACAGATTTTCTTAGAAAAAGGCTGTTTTCATTCAGTGATCTGGACCCATTTCCCCCTCTGCCTTTTCTTCAATGTTGAAATTGAACAGGGAATCTGATTTATGAAGCTCCCCCCCACTGTACCCAGTGTACTGTTAGTTTTTATTTGCCATTTAAATCCTACGAGGGAATCTGTAACATTGGTATAAGGAAATCAGCCATTAGAACTGCACGTGTCACCTGAAGTTGCAAACCATTCATTTGCAGCTGTAAAAACACAGTGAGCTCATGCTTGATGCCCTTGTAAGATAGTCCATTATATTTTTGTGGTTTAGTTTGAAATGCACCGTAAAGTATAAAATAACAGACTTGGGTCACGTTAAAAGAATGTTTCATCATCTAAGTGTACAAACATACCTCACTGTGCAGTGCGTGGTATGTCTCCATGATTTCAGATGCAAACAAATGGAATGAGCTCAATTAAACACTGTAACACTGGTTCATTCATACTGCATCGAAAAAGAAAATATTAAGGATGACTTGTGCTGATCAGACCAGCAGTCTTGTGATACAATGCCTGCCCTACACAGTTTTGGTTCCAGGCTTCAATTCCTGTGGGAACGGTCATTCCAGAAAATATGTTGAATGTTTGATGGATTTTGTCATTTGCCATATAGCAAGCTGTCCTAGGTGAGAAAGTATTGTTGAAATTTTACCTTTAGTTTTTGGGCCCTAATTTGAAAGGTGGGGACAGGATACAGATGTGAAATACAGTGAACTAAAACGCAACTTGTGGCACAGCATCAAAGTGATAATATTGGTGCAGGATATGAAGAAACAAAGCATGAGCTGAGAAATCGACCTAAAGAAGGCATTTGATACGAGACTTGGGGTGAAAATCGTAATGTTTGATGTCTTAACTTAAACTTAATAATGTTAACAAGTGAACTTATTGTAAATAACATCAACTGATCTCCAAGTGTGCTAGTATTGGATGCCAACCCCACCCTGACATCCTTTACAATGATGTTAAGCGCTCCAAGATGCTGCCCCACATGAAGGGCGCTATATAAATGCAAGTTGTTGTTGTTGACTTTGCCTTAATTAAATTCTTGCCTACCTATACAAAAATGTCATGGTTAAAGTGTTATGCTGAGTCCTGTAGCTCTGTGGTTAGAGCACTCGCCTTGCAAGCGAGACACCTGGGTTCAATTCCAGGCAGGGCGAAACCTTGGGGAAGTTTCTTTACTCCACACGCCTAATAATAATCCCTCCAAAACAAAACAATAATAAATTGGTCATTTTCAATCCACGACTGTTTGTGGGACACTGCTGTGTACAATTGGCTGCCACGTTTCGCCCACAAATATACAGTCAATTCACTTCACAGCATATTCTGTGAAGCGCTTTGAGACGTCTAGAAGACATGAAAAGCACTATATCACCATATCACTATATCAAATGCAAGGATTTATTATTTATTATTACTGCTGCTAACTGTCCACCCAATGCCCTGAGCCAGAGGACCAATGCAAGATGTAGCTGATGGAAATGAACCATTTGTAACCTAATGCACTTGTAACTTAAAGTACTGAGTCATTTATTTGCAGTCGTAGAAACAGCACTGTGTATTTCAAAGTAAACTTCCCAAAAATAATGAACTATCTCACAAGGCCACTGAGTATGAGCTCATAGTCAGCCGCAATGGGAAATGTGGCCATCTTCTGATCACATTATGAAGGATGTTGGGCGATGGGAGCACACCCATTAACAAGTCGGTGTAAATGTAATATTAGATGAAATAAGATGAAATAAGATACATAATAACAAAGTAATATTACTGCTTTCATTTGATATATCGCCATTCACATTTGGGAGGACGTTTCAAAGTGCTTCACAGGATGTAGTGTAATATGGAGTCCTGTAGCTCAGTGGTTAGAGCACTCGCCTTCCAAGCAAAAAACCTGGGTTTGATTCCCAGCAGGGCAAAATGTTGGGCAGGTTTGCTTACTCCGCACACCTCTGTTTACCTAGCAGTAAGTAGGAACTCGGTTGTTAGTCTATTGGCGGATTGCATTTTCCTGGTGTAACAATTGCTTCAAAAGCATAATAATAATAAATTGGTCTTTTCAAATCATGACACTGAATCGAGTGTTTGTGGACACTGCTGTGCGCAATCAGCCAGTACGTTTCGCCCACAAAATATTCATTCAATTCACTTTACAGTATATTCTGTGAAGCGCTTTGAGACGTCTCAAAGATGTGATAAGGCACTATATCAAATGCAAGGATTATTATTATTATTTATTATTATTTATTATTACTATTATGTGTAGTCACTGTATTTTGTAGGTGATGGAGACAGACTAGTTGGGCAAACAATGTCCTACAACAATGCAATAAATGACCAATTTTATCTATCTGACTCTTTTGGTGGATGTTAAAAATCCCACTAGTTGAATAGAAACAGGATTTTCTCCCAGCATCCTGGCCAATGGCCTCCCAGATAAAATTGATCATTTATTTTTTAGGTTGTTTGGGAAACATTGCTGTGCACAAATTGATTGCTGCTTTCACCTATAAATAAACAGTCACTATACTTTACAGTAAAATCTTGTAATCCTTTATTCTTCACAATATAATCCTTGCATTTAATATAGAGGCTAGTCACATTGTTGTATTGAGTATTAAATGCTCAATTATAGTATTATTTGTATGATGTAATGACTTGATAATTCTAATTCTATGCTAACTGATTATTGTGGTTCTTGCATTTGTTATGTGATTTCTGCTCAAAGTTGTAGTATAAATTGGGGCTCTGGTCATTGTGCTGGAACCCTGTCCAGACAACAACTGGAGGAGGTAGTTTGTTTAGGGAGCAGTGTTGTAAAATCAAAGGGAGCAAATTGTACTGGACTCAGTGTCTTATGGTTCACTTAAAGGTCTTGGATGTGTACTTCATTGCCAGTTCAGGAATTTTGAATGCAGTGTTTTAGTGTTTTTAATACCAACAAAGACTACACTTGGACTTTCATCCCATCACACAGTGTTAAGATGAACATTGCTAGCCTCCAATTAAATGCAATCCAGCATTTTCTGCATAACATCTGTTAAGCTAACCGGACTGTAATTCTTAAATTCATGTCTCACTCCTTTGTTGAATACTGGAGAAGCAGATGTTATTCTCTCCTCTGTTGATAGCAGTTTTACAAAATCTTAATAACATCAACTTGAGTCTCACCAAATTCCTGCTTCATTTCCCTCTAATCCAGATGTCTTGAAGATATTTATTCCCTTGCGTGAGTTCATAGCAAATGTTTTACTGACCCCTACATATGTTATAGATTCTTGAGCCAAATTAAAAAGATCTGGAAGTTTTTCCCATCTTCATACGTGAAGAGTGAAGGGAAGAACAAATTTAACACATCTGCTATTTCCTTTTCAACCTTAGTATTTCTACTCAACTTATCCCTTAAATGACCTGTTGGGTCTCTAACACCGTAATTACTTCTCACATAGTTGAAATAGGTCTCTGGATTTCTCTTACTGCTCTTTGCAATTAGCCTCTCTATAGCTCTCTCACACATATGGTGGTTTTAGTTATCATCTTTGTATATCCTTGTCCTGAAAATTTTCATTGTTTATTCTGTCACTTTTTTCTCTCAGCCAGATGTGTGACACATGCTGAAACCCATCACCGTGCTTAAGCGCATCCAAAAAAGACTGAGATTTTATATATATATACTATATGTATAGATATATTTCCCTGAATGGAATATGCGAACTCTTCATTGGATAGAACCAGGGTGTACATTGAGCTACTGCTAGAATTTAACCAACTAAATCCACGTAGCTTAACATTGAAAGGAAGTGTCACTCTGCTTACCCAACTAGGGTCACACTAGCTTTTATGGCTTTGGCTTGCAGAGTAAATAAGAACTGAAGAACAAGAGGGAAGATCCCTGTCCCCAATGTAAGGTCTCCCTCTCTACGTCCTACTGATGAGCTAGGCGGGTGAATTGTTCTGTGATAGGAAAGCCCTGGCGTACTGTGCATCTCTCATACTCAGGAACTGGTCTACCGAAAGACACATGATTTACTCGATTCTGACATTCTGTTGCCAAGCAAGTCAAATTGGATCCAACTAAACTCTAAGGAGATCCCACTTCCGTCCCCCCAAGGAGGAAAGTAAGTCTTAAAAGCTTGCTTATGCTTAATCTCCTTACTCCTTATGATGAGTCTTTTTACTTTTTCTCATAGGGACATACTTCCTTTCTACATCTTTAAATTTATTCTTTATTTCTTTCATTCTCTTGCTCAAAGGAAAAGTATTCTTCCCCAACACTCTTTGTACAGCTGCAAACTTTGCGTTCCAAGTTTTAGCCATAATTAAGTCTCATTTGTGGCCTCAGGATAATATTGGTTATTCATTTCAGGCCAAATTAACCAGAGTGCGACTTGCAAAAATGGCTTCTAACTTCCCTATTAACTCCAGTCACAATCCATAGTTCATTCCCCTTTTACACCAATTTACTAACAGCAGGAATAATCTTTCATTGTCTATCCTCTGAGAACCCCTCAGAGTTTGGATGTTGCTTCCTGTTGCCTATACGGTATTGCACTTTAGCCCCTATCAAAAAATTATTGAAAGTGATATGGAATAAAAAAAAGTTGTTGATCATTTACGTTTTATGAACAGGTTTAAAATCTTGTACATGATGGAACTTAATTTCTCCTGCTTATTTATAATTATAAACACAATTAATTCAGTCCCCCTCCCCCACGTACTCCCTCTGCTCTGCCACTTCTAGATTGTTTCATTTCCCTTGTTCTCTGAATTGGTGGGCAAACTTTCAGCCACATTGTCCCTCTTTTCTGGAAGTGTCTCTCCAAATCCCTCCACCTCCCCATCCTCCCTATCTCTCACCCATCTTGGGGGCCCGCTCTGTCCTTGTAGGACACTTTGGGACATTCTCCTGTGTGAAAGATGGTATATAAGTAACATTTTTGTTGTTGTTAAATATAAATGTGTTGGTTCAATGATATGCCGACCAATGCAATGAACAATCTCCTGATTGTCTCGCGCCAGCACCTCCCCACCTCAGGCACTGGCAGTATCAGCATCCACGGATGCACACTCCACCTCACCAAGCCAGTCAGGAACCTAGACGTCTTGTTCGACCCTCAACTGTTCTTTCTCCCCCACATCCATGACATGACCTGCTCTGCCTTCCCCCACCTCCGCAACATTGCCCGACGTCATCACTGCCTCACCCCTCAGGCCGCCAAAACTCTCATACACGCCTCCATTACATCCAGGCTCGTCTATGCCAATGCCCTGCTTGTCAGCCTTTCCACCTCTTCCCTCCACAAGCTGCAGATCATCTAGAACTCTGCAGCCCATGTCCTCTCCCACACTAGGCTCCATGACCCCATCACCTCCACCCTCGCTCGGCTCCACTGGCTCCCCATTCCTCAGAGGATTGAGTTCAAAATTCTCGTTCTCGCCTTCAAGGCCCTCCATGGCCTTGCCCCCTCCTACCTCTGTGATCTGCTAACCCCTTATCAACCTGTCCGCTCCCTCCACTCAGCAGGCTCCGGCTTGCTCCATTTCCCCATCCCATTGGCGGTCGGGCCATCAGCCTCACTGCTTCCACTCTCTGGAACTCTATCCCACATTCGCTTTGTCTTGCTTCCTCCCTTGTCTCCTTCAAGGCACACCTCAAGACCTTTCTCTTTGACTGTGGCGTCATCCACGCTCCTATCCCCACCCTCCACGCCCTCCAACATCCCTGATCCGAACCCAACCCCCCCCCTTCCCCCCAATCCCTGACTGCTCAGAGCCTTGGCATGTCCTCCCAACGTGAAAGACGCTTTGCAAATGTAATTTTGTATTGTATTTGTATATACTATTTTATATACTATTTTTTAAAGTGATTACATTCCTGTCTATTCAGTACTACTTTAACTGATTAAAAGGGCACAGAATTCTGATGCCCATATTAACAAGTACTGTAGATACAGTTTATGTTTCCAATAACTTTCCAAGAATTTGAAGCTCGAATCACAAAATGAAAGATTAAAAAAAACAAACACAATCTACATAGGTTTGGTTGCCAGATTGATTATCTACCATGCTTTGATTCATAATAGAACCAATATAAATTGAAACCATCTGCAACCGATGCTCTTCACAAGGTGTTTTCCTGGGATTTTCTCAGGTATGAAATGAAAGGCCTTTGGCCAGAATGACAAATCACCTATGATATAACCTCTTGTGAGCACAAGAAACATGTATTCCTATTGTGCACAATGAGAGCAATCTGCCATCAGTTCCAGTATTTGATCAATGGACGTGTATAGAGTGGAGTCATACTGCTTAAATCAAGGATCCAGTTTGGAACTGATTCAATGATTCCAATGGAAGCACAGACACAGGCATGAATGTCATAACATCAAGTTATGTGCACTCATGTGCACAACATTTCTGCCCATTTCTCAAACTCTTTGTGACATTATGGTATTGCAATGTCATATAGCTAGTGGCGAGGCAAGCAAGATCTGTTGAATCGATGTTGCGATGGATATGGTTAAACTGCAGTCCTGTACATCAATTTGTGTCAGAAACCACCTTCTGGAAATGGTTTGGAGGACGGGCCTGCAAAGCAATTCAATTTCAGAATGTGTAGCGTAATCCGCTCTCATATACATATCTTTTAGAATCAATTTGATGTGAAAACCGTATTGAATCAGTGATAAAAGTACATTGTTAAACAGCCACTGGATTGTTCTTGTTATTTAGTAGTGATTATTTAGAAAGGAAAGAAGCAAAATAGTTCAAGAAAAAGACTGGTAATTATTGTTTTTGTATAACATTCAAACTCCTTATCCTGAAATAACTCTGTGTCATAAAGCACAACGGTAATAGCCACGTGTGTAGGAGAGGATGTATTTTAGCCTTCCTTAAATTATAGCATAGGTTTTAATTG